AGAGGGTTAGAGGAACCAGAGGGAACAGAGATGTGGAGTTATGGAATTGTGGAATAGGGGTCGGGGTGGAGAGGGTTAGAGGAACCAGGGGGAACAGAGATGTGGAGTTATGGAATTGTGGAATAGGGGGCGGGGTGGAGATAGGGGTCGGGGTGGAGAGGGTTAGAGGAACCAGAGGGAACAGAGATGTGGAGTTACGGAATTGTGGAATAGGGGGATGGGGTGGAGAGGGTTAGAGGAACCAGGAGGAACAGAGATGTGGAGTTACGGAATCGTGGAATAGGGGGACAGGGTAAAGAGGGTTAGAGGAACCAGGGGGAACAGAGATGTGGAGTTACGGAATCGTGGAATAGGGGGACAGGGTAAAGAGGGTTAGAGGAACCAGGGGGAACAGAGATGTGGAGTTACGGAATCGTGGAATAGGGGGACAGGGTAAAGAGGGTTAGAGGAACCAGGGGGAACAGAGATGTGGAGTTATGGAATTGTGGAATAGAGGACGGGGGGCAGTGAGAGGAGCCAGGGGACACAAAGATGTGGAGTTTTGGAATAGGAGAATGGCGTGTGGTGAGAGGAACCAGGAGGCACGGAACCCTGGAGTCATGGACTCATAGACCCATGGAATAGGGGAAGGAGGTGGTGAGGAGTTAGAGGAACCAGGAGGCACAGAATCATGGAACACGCCAAGCTGGAAGGGACCCACAAGGATCAGAGTCCAACTCGTGCCCTGCACAGCCCCAAGAATACCATTACATGGCTGAGAGCATTGTCATAACACTCCTTGAGTGTTGTGAGCACTGCCCTGAGGAGCTGTTCCAGTGCCCAAACACCTCTTGGGAAAGAACTTTTCCCTAATATCGACCTAACCCGCCCGTGACACAGCTCCAGCTGTTCCCTCAGGTCCTGTCACTGGTCACCAGAGCAGAGATTGGTGCTGCCCCTCGTGAGGAGCTGCAGCCCCCTGAGCTCTCCCCTCAGTCTCCTCCAGCTGAATAGACCAAGCTGCTCCTCATGTGGATAAAGTCCCAGCCCTTTTCCTCCACCCAAGCTGGGGCAAAACAGGGCTCTGCCCCTCTTCTACTCCCACCATGTGCCCCAGCACCACGATCAGACCTTGAGCTCGTACTCCTCGCGGGTGTCGATGGTGTCACAGCGCAGATCCTGCTTCAAGTCCACATCGTCCTTGAACGACTGGGGGAGAGGGGAGAACCACAGAGTCATGGGATGGTTTGTGTTGGAAGGACCTCAAAGTCACCTCATCCCACCCCCTGCCCTGAGCAGTGACACCTTCCACCAGCTCAGAGCTCCATCCGTGGTGACCTTGGATGCTTGTAGGGATGTGCCAGTGTCTCAGCACCCTCACAGGCAGGAAATTCCTCCTGAGCTCTAATCTAAACCATCTGTTGTTCAGTCTGAGCCCATTCCCCCTTGCCCATCACTCCAGGCCCTTGTGAAAAGTCTCTCTCCATCCTTCTTGTCATCTCCCTTCAACCACTGGACCAAAGGCCAAGCATGTGAAGACCAGCTCACTCCTCCAGTCTCCCCCCCAGCTCAGGGGGTGGCACAGGGTGTCCCCACGGGGTGGGATGCCCCTCACCGAGTAGATGGCCTTCATGACCCGTGTGGCCGTGGACACACTGGCTGTGTCCTCCTCGCGGTCAGCGTGCAGCGTCAGCGGCTCCCGGTTCACCGTCTCCACCTTGATGTCCAACTTGCGCAGGGTCACGTCCTTGCGGCCTGGGGACGGGTGGCACGGGTGGCTGCTGGCCACATCCTGCCCC